AATTTATATTTAATCGACGGATGCCATCTATTAAAATAGATTAAAATGGGATTACCAATAGCATAACAACAACGAGGAATAATTCTTCGACTCGAGCCGATTTAATTAAATCGTTTTTTCGTCATTTGTGAAGAGAGCTTCAACCATAATCACTCGGGAAACTGAAGCCAGTTGAAATGCTATGCACGCTACGGAGTTGCATTTTATTCCTATGATATTCACAAAGACAACTTCAATTATTCCAATGAAAAATTTAACAGACACGGTCATTGTATCTTCCGTTCTAAAGGCCATGTCTAGGGATGAGTAATTTCCGGTCGTTGCCCTTACTTTCCAACGTTTACGCAATTTCTCTCTTTCTCTTTCTCTTCGTTATATTTCTCGTTGGGAAAACTTCATTGGATCATCGATACGATCTGCACAAATTTTTATCTACAACGGATATTAATTATATTATCACGACGAGTTTGTTTCGAGTTTTCTACGAATTTCTCTTCGTCTTTCTTAGAATACAACCGCAACTAATAGTCGATCGAAAGTTCAACCTTCCAACGGGCCGTACACGCGACCATGAAATATAAAACATGACGAATCCAGTCGACTGTATATAATTTATTATGGTACCATGACGTAAATCCATTCGAGAAAATTTCTCATTTTCGAGAATTCTTTTTACCACCTCTGTTCTCTCACCTTCTCTTTCTCTTTCTCTTTCCTTTTTTTTCATTTTTCTCCGTCTTTTTCGTCGACGCAGATTCATCACCCGGTATTCCACGCGATAAAAAAATCTTATTAAACGTCAACCAAGTACCCTTTATCCGGTGCAATACAATATCCATTTTAGTCTCTCTGATTATCAAACGGGGGGAGAGGGGAGGGGGGGGGGGAAGGAAGGAAAGCTGTTAAAATAGACCCGCGGGTCTGTTAAATTGGCCGAGCGAAGAAAAGTTCGGGCGAAGAAGAAATTTCTAAATATTACGATCAAGAAATTAATCGACCATCCGATCTGGTTACATCTTTTATAATCTGAGAGTGAATAGAAAATTATAAGGGGAAAAGAGATGTGACGATAGAGAATTGTGATTTCAAACAATTGTCTCCTTGATTGAAAAATCAATTTAAAAGAGTTTGTGCCCCCCTTAAAATGCGGTTATGTCACAAACAAGCGCTCTTAAACACAGTGAAAATGATTGCTTTTACCGAGGGAAAGATTAATGATGTAACGTGACCCTGTTCGCCTGTTGGATGACTCACAACAATTCATACCCATATTCCTCTTGTGATTCGATGAAACTTGCATATCTATTTTCTTTTTTTTTTTTTTTTTCAAATTGCATCATTTCGCGTCGTGACCGTTTCAATGAAAAAAAAAAAAGAAAAAAGAAAAATATTGTTACGATTTTTGCAATGAAAATTATCGCTTCTTGCGTTCTGTGCTCTTTGCGAGTAAGTACGAGAAGAATAAAAGTTGTATCATCAAAGCAACGACGCGCATTTCTTGGATATCGTGGGTGTAGGAGGATACAAAGCTAACAGCTCATCAAGGGAAAAACTGTTAGAAGAGCAATTCCGTTTTTCTTATAGAACTCTGGCACGCTACCTTGCTCGAGGGTCACTGCAAATACTTTTTATCTCCTTGGTTCTCGAGGAGCTCCTACACGTCTTGTTATCTACGGTATATCGAGCCTTTATCAACGACCAACGATTACTTTTATTTATTGTTCCCATAGCAGGGAGTTATCCTTAATTACGGTCGATATAAATTCATCATTGGAAATATATTCTCGAACTTTTATCCTGCGAGATGACTTTCAATGTATAATATATTAACAAAAAAAGAAAAAAAAGAAAGAAAGTTAAATACATTTTTCTAAATCTTTTAGAACTTTTCTCTTGGAATTAAGAAATAGAGAAATAGAGAAGAGAGAGAGAGAGAGAGAGAGAGAGAGATGATCGATCAAGGGAAAGGAGACAATCAATTAATAAAGATTCGATAAAAGCTTGCGTCATATGTGCGAATCATCGAGGCCGACCAGTGAACTTGACCTTCACCTCGAGCACGACTACCTTCGATCGAATTTCCATGCTGGTAGGCCGGGAATTCCCCGAAAGAAGGTTAACAGAAACATTCTTCAGCGGCACGTGTGTGATACCACAATAAGATGGAGTGCGAAACCGAGGTTGGCGTGACTGTGGTCGTCCAGTGGAGTTCGTCGAAGAGGAGTGATTTGTGTGCAGGCTACCCGAAAATCGGCCTCCCTTCGCCGCCGCTCGTGATTCGTCTTAACTCTGGCCATCGATCGATCCGAGCCACGATTCGGCCCAATGGTGAAAGCATTCGAGCGAATCCCGCGTGAGTCATCTCGTTTGTTCGCTTCTGCGATGACCTTGCTGGATAAAGAACCGCAACGCGCGAAGACTATTTATGTTGGCCGGTGGGCAATAAGTGATTTTCATCGATGTTTAATCCTCCGCGCCGATTATGACACGCAACAACGTAGACCACTTTCGGTGACCAATGAGACAAGACATCTCGATTACTGCTACGGAACAGTAGACAAAAAACAATCGTATAATGTTTTCTTCTGACATTTCAATACCACGCCGATGACTTAATACCATACACAACTGCAATTATTAAATTTCCTTGTAAATGTAATAATGGTTAGGATAAAAAGTAAGATACCAATAAAAAGTATAAAATTCTTCGCTTCGATTCGACGAAAAGAAGGAGTCAAAGATGCAGAAAGTACATTCGCAATAATAGTGATATCCAATGAACGAAAGGACGTTTAACGGATGAAAGGTATCGGTTGATCGATAATTTAAAAAAGAAAAAATCTCGAGGCCCTTTTCACTCAACGATAATTACTTGTCGCATCTTTTTATCGATGTAAATTTCCAATAAAAACAAATCTAGAAGAAGAAACTTCACTTTTTCTAGGTATAAATAATAATAAGTTGAAAATTCATCTAATCAGTCAGATAGGAATTGGATTAATTGTCATTTGATTTGAAAACAATATCTGTGATTGTTTAACGCACTAGCATAGAACAATACACAGTTTGATAATGTGATAAACAGAAAATTGTATAAATATCCCGAGGTTGCACGCAAGACGACGGAAAAAAGCCTTGTTCCTCTGGACGTGCTGTGTTACAGGTTCTTCAAAAATAAACCTGCACCACGTGCAGCCTTGATCCTGTGCACGCAACGTTGCATACACATGTGACACGTAAGCGTAACAGCAGCATACGCACGTGCACCACAATCCACAAGATTGCATACCATCGATACATAATATGCATTATTCTGGTCAATTTATAGATACCGTCGTTCCTAAATCCTTCGTTCCTAATTTATTACCGTAGTAATTTTTGATTCTCCAATTTACGGATTCCCCATTCGTGTGATTTCCTCATTTTGGACTCTGTAAGTATATATTGTAACATTTCTGAATTTATTGTATTGAAGATGATTCCAATGTTAAAATTTTATCTATTAGCGAGTGAAATTTCAAAAATTGAATTAAACGAGAATGATATTATTATAGATCGCCAATCAAAGTGGCGAAGAAATTATAAGTTAAACTAGGTGTTTTCTATAGTCAAAAAAAAATAGGTTTTATAAACAATATGAGATCCATGATTTTCGTATGTCTATGACATCACGATAAGAGGACTACCAGAACATGAAATCAAAGAGAAAGAGAGAAACAGAGAAAGAGAAGGCGGGGATGAAGTGAAGTCATAAAAGTAGGGCAGTAGTGCGGTAGAGCAATCAATAGAGGTCGGATCATGGTGGGGGATGGGGGCATTAAGCCACCGTGAAATTTTGGCATACCCTAAGAGAAGGGATATTTTGATTTTTAAATTAAAAAAAAAAAATCACTTTTTCATGATTTCATCTTATAATAATAACATTTAAATTTTTTTAAGTTGTTCTTTCTGTATGATCAGAAAAAATCGTATGTATTTTTTAAATATACGAAATTTTTTTTATTAATTTTGAATTATTGTGAATGCTCATAGCTTTCCAAAAAAAAAAGAAACATATTAATAAAGAAATATATATATATATATAATAGATACATAATAGATGATAAAATGTTTTCTTCATATTTTTTTAAAAAATGAAATATATTAAGAATCACGTATTACTTATCTTCCCGCGAAAATGATCAAATATGATGAATATGTGAGCAGATGCATATTTTGATATGCTAATTATTTATCAATTTTATTATTAAATTGAAAAAAAGTATAATTATATTAAATTATACATTATACACAATATCAATTTAAATATTTAAGCAGAAATATTTACATATATCTAGAATATGTATATATGTATAATATATTCTAGATATATAATATATATATTCTTTCAATATATTTCTATTATGCATTAAGTCTTATATATATAAAATTAAAAAACCGATGAAATAAATTAATGAAATACTGATCTTTATTATTGAAGAGGTTTAGAAACAAATAACTAATGATAAACCAAAATTTTAATATATTGTATTACCGACTTTGATCGTCTCTTTTTCCTTATTGTTTGTAAAGATAAATTAATAAAGTTAATATTAACAATACTATACACATGATAGTGTCATACATAAATACATACACATATTTGCATACCTGTCGGTGTATGTTCTATTCGTAAAACGATTCAGAATATTATACGTGAAGAGGTTATGATGCACGAAAAAATATCAAAATGAATAATTCATATAAAATGATTTTATAATAAAACACGACACAAAATTATTAAACAATTAAATATGCAATTATAAATTTTTGATTCTTCAATGTATACAAATTAATGATATAATTCAATGGAGACACCTAGTGGACTTTATAAAATGTTTCTCACTGATTAAGATGTACAAAAATCATCGTGAAAAACGTGCTACTCTATCTAGAACGAGCTACACATCAATTGGCACATGACAAATGAAGCTGAGTATAATTAATGAATAAATACTCACCTGGTTCTAAATATACGCACGACACAACTTCACCATTTCACCAATTTTTCACTGTACTCGATCGCGTATTGTTGTCCTTTGCTTTTTTTAAATGTGCATAGCGGATTGGTAACGCTATCTGTTTCTGCTTATTAGTATTAAACGAAACATTATTTAGATGGCAGCACAGATGTTTTTCACAGATGTCTCTATCATACATAATAATATTTAAAATATTTCGATTTAAATAGCGCCATTCTTCAAAGATTAATTTAATTTTACTTTTTTATTTTTGTAATAATAATATTAATATAATTAGTATTTCACTTTCATGCCGATATAAAACTGAAAAAAAAAATTCGTTCCCATATTTTTAAAATCTTTTTTTTAATTGCTAATGTAAATACTATATATTATAAATAATATCTTTTTTACTATATTTATTTTACTACATAAAAAAAAGCTGAAATAATAATTTGTAAAGAACATAAGATTATTTATTGGATATCAAGTTTTACAAATATTATCACACACTCGTTATGAATGTTTCATTAGAGATGGCTGTCTTATACGTATTGTACAAATATAATAATTATATTTTATAATGGCTATACACATATATGTATGTGTATATACATAAATATATTATACACACACACACATACATACATACATATATATATATATATACACATATATTTATGTATATATAAATACTTAATTATTTTATAAAGTGGCAGTTGTTCTATTTATATACATCAGTGGCCTATAGCTTTTTATGATATAGATTATCATCAAATTTTGATGCTAATCTTAATAAATCCATAATACACTGATCAAAGAAAAAAATAATGAATGTTATTAAGAAAAATGAAAGATGATGATGATGATGATCACAATAATGTATTAATGGAAATGATTAAAAGCAACCAGCCTCTAGCATTTTGCAATATTCATTTATCCTCAATATTCCCAGTATACGTAAAAATCAATAAATAATTTTACATAGATAAATATATATTTTATATATATCTACTATACTTTTGTGGTAAAATATTTTTATAGGCCTTTTTGTAGACCTATTTCTTTTTTTAATTACAAAGAGCTAAATCACCCCTTAACTCACGCAATAGTTACAAATTTTATATTTATATATAATATTTATATATGTATTTATAATATACAAGCTGTTCTTTTTTTATCGGTATAGCTCATACATACTCTTATAATTTCATATAACAATTTTACTAATTATAAAATATTTTTATAAAATGTCTGATTTAAAAATAAATAAGACTTAAAATAATTCTTATTCAGTTAAGCATACAGCCACTTTGTTCGTAATATTTCATATATAAGAAAAATGTATCGAAAAATGTATTGAAAAATGAATTGAAATTGTGCATGATAGAATACGTAAATATCTTAATACTAATTTATTAACTTTCTAATCAGAGCTAATCCGACGATAAAAGAACTTGTTCGCTTCGTGTTGATCAAGATGAATGGTATAATTCCCGTCTAATGGCAAATATTAGAGTAATATGCAATACTCTGGACGAGTCGATAATTTTTTGTATAATTCCCGACTGGCACTGTGTCACAAAGAGTATCACATATTGCTTTGTACTATTTCCATATTAGGCTTTACCACAACGGGAATCCTTGGTGCATTGTTTTTTGACGTGTATTTTGGACTTTTGTACAATTATATTCAACGTTAAGAAAATACAAAAGTGTTTATAAAGATAATATAGTACGAAATACTACATGCGAAATTACCTGATCGCATTCCTTCTTATCTCAAGTTAGAATCGTTATTTTTCCTGCATTTTTAAAGTCTCTCATTTATTAATACTACAGAGACTTGTGTATAGCAATAAAATGTGTATAAAATTTACGTAGCAAATTCCTAGCATTGGAAGGAGATATATCTATATATTTCGACGGATATGGTCAAAAACTGTAGATTAATATTTTATATGAAATCTGTCCGTCGTAATTATTTAAATTCATTTCGACAGAGAAATTCGATCAGCAGTTTCTTAGAAAGTACTTACACATAAATTGCAATTCGTCATAGCTGTATTCAAATATATTCAAATAAAATAACATATAGTACTTACAAATAACAATTTGTAAATGTTGAATAAAAAATAGTTTGCAAAAACGACTCTCAAATTTAATTTAATTCTATTAATTAGACCGACGTATGTACCTTAGTTGAACATTAAAACATAATGCTTATTTCAGTTAAACAAACTATCGAAATTGTAAATACATGGACACTATCGATATTATCGATATTTCATTGAATTCTATCGTATATCGATATATACGATCCTCGCAGCAAAACGCGAATAATTATATTACTAATTCTCATATGCTATATATCTTAATATAATACCCATACTCGATGTTCATTTGTAATCCTAAAATAATTTCTCAATGAGATCGTAATACTACATTGTTACTTTATACGCATACGACTTTTTTATAAATGAGAACAGACTTCTTTTACAAGCTGCCAAAGCCACTGAGTACAGGGCAATTTAATACAAAGTTATTTTTAAGGCCATTACACAGTGTTCAAAAAATTTTTGAAATTAAAATTTTTATATAAATATATGAAAATTTCAGGCCTATTATAAATATAAATAAAAAATTTGTTAAATTTTGTTAAATTACAACATTTAGTGTAATTACAAATAATTTGAAATTGAAAAAAAATTTCTTAATTTATTATTTTAATTCATTAATATTTAACTAATTTGATCATTTAAGAACCAATTATTGGAAATTAATAAATTATGAAATAATATCATGAAAAACATTTTAACGGTATAAAGAAGGCATAAAAAAATATTTCTATCTTCTGTAATGAACTTATAAATTAATTAGATTAAGAGACTCACGTGATCTAGCCATCTTAAGCGTAAGTATGGCAGTCGATATTATTGTTATATAAATGTACTCTGATGAGTATAAGTTACAAAATCATGGCAAAGAACGCGTGAGTTTTTGAATGTAGTACGAATTATTTCTTTTTTTTCTAGGCAAGATAATTATTCTTGTATGAAGCACATAAATGGTAATTGCGACATTACCAATCACTTTTATACGTATAAGAATTGAAAAACGCTAAAATCGTTTTTCTTTACCGTGAATTCATTGAATTAATAATTTAATATAATACAATATAATATAAAAAGGATTATCGATAATAAGCGAACTTATCGATAACTTTCCTTTTATCTCGATTGAATTAAATTGCACACACTGTATGCACAAAATTACACTGTTAAAAATCCATAATGAAATGTTCAATCTTTTCGTCAACACTTTCAAACCATATTACTCACGTTCTTGCAAAATACAAGTCCGTTACAAGAAGGCGGCAGTGTCAAAAAAACATTGGCAAGTATACTTTGCATTTTATCATAAAAAGCAACGTTAGTACCAGAGGAAAAAGCAAATTGACTAGGAAGAAAATTCATTCTAGTCCATATCACTGGGATTCGAAAAATTTATAACTGAGACCGTTCATCGGCCATTGATCATCCATTGCCAATTGTGTATATTTAAACTTCACGAAAAGTTTCGACGTGTAACACAATTATTACATCTATTTCTCAGGTACTAACATTGAGAATGTATCATTGCAGTCTATTGAATTGAGATGGCACAAGGTTTAGGAACCTTTTCTAGCACTCAAATTCAGATGCTGTTATGGCATTTAGATCTTTCATAAGACCTTCTAAATTAGCCATCTCTTGATTTAATTCTTCTGTACTGTAAGAAGGCTAAAAAAACATAAAAATAATCAATTAAGCATTTTATTTATGATTTTATAATAAATTAAATGAAAAATTACCTTCAATCGTTCAACTTCTTCTGAAGTGTGCACCGGATTTGAAACTGAAGCCAATCGATTTTTTGCTAATTGTGCAGAACTTTGTGGCTTCTTATACGGACTTCCGGACATTGTAGGTCTGACAGTAACTTGAGAAACTATATAACATTGTATTGTATAAAAAAAAAATTATATATCAAAATAAAAAAAGAAAGAATATAAAAATTAACTCAAATGCAATTTACCACCATGTTTTTGTTGGGCTGGTGTCGAAGGTGCAGATTGAGGTGGAGGTGCTGGTACACTAAAGCTTTTTAAAGGATGTCCTTGCATTCTTTTACTACTGCTAGTACCATCAGTTCCACTGCTTGTACTTGATGGTTGATTACTATTGCTATAATGTCCCGAAGCATATTGAGTATTTCCACTGTATGATTGATTGCTTGTACCATATGGTAATTGCTTTAAATAAATAATTTGGATCAAATAAAATTTTTTACTTAAAATAATTATCAATTATATAAAAATCTTACTTGACTTTGCATTGGTTCATATGAAGTTGAAATATTACAAGAATCTGGACTCGATTCTGGTGTTGGTTCTAAGGTAATATGTGCTCGACTTAAACTATATTGTGCTACAGTTCGAGGATAATTTTGCCTCGCAGATGGTGTATCACTGCACGATGTGTGAATTGTTGGTTGTGACATACTTGTATTTACGATTGGTGTGGCCGTCGCTATAGCTGTAACAAGTTAAGTACTTTGATATACAGCTTAAAAAATTTCATTTTATAAATTTGTTGCCAGTGAATCCAAGTCACTATAATTCAAAAGAAAAAATAAATTTTTTCGCTTAATTCTACTATTACTTACGTTGATGTAAAGATGCACTGTCAACGGGAAGTGTAATGAGTTTAGGTTTGTGGCTTCCTCGACTATGTTGTCTATTCAGGGTCGAGCACTTCTCATCAGTATTACCTAATGTTAAGTGAGTGAACATAAACCGAATACAAAAATCAAAAAAATAATAAACAAAATAAAATTTTTTTTATGATGTTTCTTTTATATAATATTAACCAAAGCTTTAATGAAGAATAAGAAATCATTAAATTGTAATATTTAATCACGTTAAAAATGATAATGGATTTGTTTGTACAATTGTGATAAAATATATGTAATTAGAAATTTAAATAAACAAAATTTTGTAAGTATTGTGTTTGATATGATGAAGTGTTCTGTAAAAAAATATTATCCTTAAAAACTTACCCATATAACTTGGCACATAA